TAGAATTAAATCAGTAATATTCATATTCGACGACAGCTGTCACAGACTGCAGCCAATGAGATCTATCTGTAAGTTAAGCTGAACCCTGTTTGACTGATAAGAGCATCACTGACTCCACACCATTTATTCTGTTTACAGAATAAACTGCCTTTGTGCGAAATCAGACACATAAAATTTAAAATATCTACAGATAAAACAAAAAAACGTAAAGTTTCTATAAAGCGACTCCAGCTGTGCCGTGGCTGGCTCCAAAAACTGCAGACACCTTGATCTCCTGAGGTCATTGTTGCCCGTGTTTGTGTGACATCAGAGCAAGTCAGGTCAAATCGGACAGAGATGCAATCGACATGAACTCGCCCATCATCGAATCTTTGCAGGCGTGAAGGAGTGAAACAACTAACACTGATGCTGCAGTCATCAGTGTTTTGGGGGGGGGGGGGGACTGTATCAGGTTCTTGGTATATTCTCACATTCGAATGATGTTGCCACAGAGATGACTTCCTCTCACTGCGCTGTTGGAATTTGAAGGAGTTACCTGCAGGCATCAGCCCAGTCCTCTCATATTCCACCATCTGTCTGTTCCAGAACTACAATGGAACAACACTGGGCCTCTGAGTTGAGCCAAGCTATCACACTTCACAGCACTTCCAAGTAAAGCAGTGCTGAAGTCAGCCTTCAGTCTGCTGTATACGGTAGATCCAGCTGGCTGCTTCAGGTCGGATCACTCTCTTACTAACTCTGGCATTTCCTTTTTTCTCACTTCTCTAGAAAATTGTTTTGTGATCGTGGTTATTTTTTATGAACTGTGCAGTCTTTATTTTTGGTTGTGGCTGACCTAACATGTCACCATTCACACTGTATACAGTCTTCACATGATTTCGAATAGACGCATTTGACAGGATGTTATGTCTACACATTGCTAAAACTGCACAAACAAACTTTAAACTTAAGAAGCTCTGAAGATTCTCATTCCGGCTGGAAACACACAAGCTGCTGTGTCAGGGACAGTTTGGAGTATGCTCAGGTTTCAGTTGATCATTTTCTCCTATTTTTTTCTCTCCAGTGTGGAAACACACATACCTGATGAAATCATACATTTTATTAGTCTCTACTATTTATACATTTTGATATTGAGGCCAAGTTGCATTAGTATTTCAAATGGCTAATTCAAACGCATGGCAAAGTAAACCTGCACATTATTTTTAGCAAGAGATCTTCACAGTGCTGAAGGAAGAGAGTCCAAAATGGAGGAAGCTATCAAAGTTTATTAGCGCTGTGGTACCGTCTGGGTTTATTTCACCATCTCTGATGGGGTATAAACGGTTCCACAAAGAGAACAATGGTTTGTGGACAGGATTCAATGGCACAAAAACATCTTTAGGATAAGCTGTGTTGGTGACAGAGCTTCCGAACTGACATTTAGCAAGCATGCTAGCTCCTCTTCTTTTCTGCCTTCAGTGAGTTTTAAAAAAAGAAAATACCAGGAAGAAGTAATGGGCCCAGTGTAGAGAGAAAAGAAAGAAATTAGTAAAGCTAAGCTAAGCTAATGAATAATGCGAGCAGGTTCCCGGCCGGCTAGCTTGTCTTGGAGTAATTCTTCGCATCCCAGCGTGGTAAAAACGCATGTATGAATATGGCTGATTCGATTTTCTGGTGTGGTCTGGTACGTTAGATTACACTGTGAGTGAGAGAGAAAGAGGAGTGACCAAAAATGCAAGCGTGTCCCGTTTTGCTCAACCCCATCCCCCTCTCCCTCTCTCTCTTTCCTGGATATGATGACAGTAAGATGACAAATACATTTTATGGCTATATTAAAACAAATTCGTCATCACAAAGCAGCAGGATCAGAAACTGAAGTAAATGACGTGTTCTGTCTGTCTGTCCATCTCCTCCGCTCATAAATCACAGAGCAGCTCCTACACACTTACAAGCAGCTTCATTACAATCAGCTGATCAGAGAGCGAGAGAGAGTGTGTGTGTGTGTGTGTGTGTGTGTGTGTGTGTCTGCATGTTGCAATCATGGTTATATGCGGTTATATACATTAAACTGTGGCGGGGCAAATCAAATTTAATATTAATTTAATATTGCAAATAATAAGCTATTAGATTAATGGGAAAACAAGTCAAACATCGCCTTGACATTTGCAAAGACATGAGCAATCGGCAATCTCATCTGATGATCGTCGATCACTGATATCACCATCCCTAGTTTCCATACCATGTCGCCATTTCAAAAAAGAAAGAGCCCCAAGTGTTTCAGCGGACAGAAACCCTTCATTTCTTTACAGGTCTTATATTGTGAAACATTTGCAGGCACACCATGCACAACAACAGCCAGACAGGATAAAATGGCGACAAACCAAAGTGGATCAGAATGAATGAAACAAATACTTGAGATTAGGGATGCTGAAAACACGATCATCTATGAGCGGGATCTGCCAATCCACGGCCGAATTTTTTTGGCACGCACTGCAGGTGGCGTACATTATATCTGCCGTGCACCGGCACAACCAGGTGGGAGGCGGGACTACACTAAACAGCACTTCTCAATGCCGAGAAAATCGGCCGATAATGATCAGCAGCTGATCACTCGGGTATCACTACTTAAGATGAGTCATCTAAAACAATAAAAACCTCTCCATCCACAGGAAACACTGAAACATTTTCAACAAATATTTTTCTTCAGTTTTCATTCAGAAAATGAAAACTGTTTTTTATTAAAAGTGGAACTTTGAGAAAACATCCAGAGGTGAGATGAACGACCTCCAGCTGAGAGCCTTTCCTCTGATCCACATCTAGAAGCGTACACTGTGTTGAGTCGTGAACACACTGGTATGCTCCTCACACTTGTTATGTGTGAAATTTGGAACAGCTGGGGTATGTGGGGATGAGAGCCAAGAAGGCTGGGGAGACAGACAGAGGGGCCTATGTGTGAGAAGGCTTGAAACAGGATCTAGTTAATTGTGGTTCTCTCTAGTTCCATCACTCTGCTGGTCTTTGTCTCCCTCCTGCTACTCCTCCACAGTGGCTGTTTACTAAACAGGAAGCTAAAGCCTCAGGCTGAGATAATAAAGGCTGGACGCCTCTCTGTGTTAATGTCTCCTTTCACTGAAGTGATCGGGGTCATCACAAGATACACAGTTAGATTTATGATCTTTTATAACAGTTTAAATGATAGCTGGAACTGAGTTTAAGACAAAGGAAAAAAAAATAGATAATAAATAAAAGACTAACTTTTACTTGTGTGACTCTGGAAGATAAGATGGTTTGTCTAAATCAGACTGCAGAAGTGATGCCTGGAGCGATGTCTGGAGAGGAACGTTAATAGTTCCTTACATGTATTATGGGACCTGCCAATGTTTTTAAAAATTATAGTAAACAATACCGGACCTACGATGGAACCCTGTGGAATGCCCTTCACTTCATGTCCATGCACAGGAAGAAAATGAGATTTAGAGTTCCTCTACATGTGTTTTAAACTCTGTAAAAATCCTCTGCTATGATTCATATTTAGTTGAACAGGGTTTTCACGAATAGAAACTGGGTCTGAAGCTGTCTGTACTGACAAGGTTTCAGGTTTATTTAGCCCCGTCCCCCCGGCCCACAAGTTGACAGGATTGGTTCCTTAGGTTTGTGACGTATGAAACCCTGGCTGTCTGAATCTGTTTTTATGAGACTGTCATTGGTTCACTGCAGTTCAAGGTGGAAACACTCAGTCATGGTGTTGATGATTATTTCACTCATCATATGTCTTGTGTTATATAAAAACATCATATGGATGTTAATGAGGTTAAACACTGGATTTTCATCGGAGGGTCTTTAACTCCAGCTAAACTTTGGAATTTTTACTAGATTATGAAATCACTAACACTGAAACTGATTTGGAAATGGATCTCTTAATGGCCAGTATGAACATGAGGTGTAATTACAACAAGTAAAACCTGTTGCAATGTTCATATATGGGCACCATAAAAATTGTGAACCTATCCTTTAAGGCCTGACTGTCTTTGCAGGGAACAGGAAAAGCAAACAATGCATAGTGAACTTTTAACTCCCCGATGTTGCTTCTGCCTCTCCCTCAGCTGTCCACCTGTCTTCATATACCTGGGTGGCCCGCCAAAGTAAAGTCTATGTATGGGGAAATCCTGAATCAGAGAAGTGCAATACGGACACGTCACAATCAAACGGAACATTAGAGTCTCAATCTAACATTTAAGTTTTTTTATCTAGTACAAGTGACCAGTGCACACTCAGCCTACACTTAGTGTGCACAGGAAGTGTAAAGAAGCCACAGAAATGTGTGACGGCTGAATAGATCCAAAGACATATCTACTCATTACAGGCCCCAGAGAATGGTGCAATATGTCATTACAACACTGATCTAATGTCTAAACTAGTGTGTGCGTGTGTGTGTGTTTGTCCATGCAGACAGCCAAACCAAAGCTTCCTCCACTCCTCTGTCCACTTCCCTCCCTCTGTAATGCTGTTAGCCACATTTTGCATATGAGTTCATTCATACTTGACGCAACGTCCTACAGCTCACTTTCCAAATCAAATCATCCAAAACACACAGAGGTCATTGTGCATCCTGGGATACAGAGAGAAAACTCCCCTGGGAAACTGCGGGAATCCAGCTCTCACAAGAAATATTTTCACATGCACACATTCTTAGTCACTGAGCAACTCTGTAGATATTGTAAAAGCCACAGAGGGCGACACGGCTCTGCAGAAACTGCTTTTTAAACTGTCAGCTCATCATCCGGAGCAGTTGAGTGCACTGGATGCCACACATGCTTTCACCGCCTTTCAACCTCCGCTGGTGACCCTCACACACACACACACACACACACAAGAATGAAAACACACACTGACGAGCGGACGCAGATAGACGGACAGGTGTGCATACATAGGAGTGGCTTAGGAGCACACACACACACACACACACACACAAACACACTCAAGTCCGCATTCATGGGTCAGATGTAGATTTTCCAACTTACCTACAACCATTAATGTGAACTCGAAACCTCTTTTGACCGACTTCCGATACACCTGGTTGGGAAGATTGGCGAAGCCCACATAGCCCTCCAGGTTCCGCTGCTGGAGGGAAACACACACACACAACACACACACACACACCCACGCGCACACACACACACTCGCACACAAACTCTGTTAATGCAGGAGTCACAAAGCATGAATACTAGCTCTAAAAAGATGAAATCTTTTAACACAGAATATCAGCCTGTACCAGCATGAGATGATGATGTGTGTGTAAACAAATACACAGCAGAAAAAATGTCAGTACACACAGAAAACACATTATGTGCATAAAAAGTGACAAAAATCTTGTTTTCTGTGAACCTGCAATTAGCATTTCTGTGTCCTGCAGCGACAAAGCCCCTTTGAAGTGAAGTACAGCTGGGATAAATACAAGAGGGGAATAGGGCTGTTTTGAGAGGGAAGAGAGGTGAGGGCCGACTCACAGAAAGAAATAACAGGCTTTTCCCGAGGAGCATGGGAATAGGAAGTGGAGTCAACACTGCCAAAGTCCATTTAAATAAGTTAACTAAAACGGAACAGTTATGGAAGCCAATGAATGAAGTGAATCTATTCTTCAAAGCACAAATTCAGACACTTAAAACTAAGTGGATGAAGACGAGGTGACACAAACAAGCAGATCAAATCTCCCTACGTGTTGAATCATATCCATCATGTCCCTCATGTAGGACCGGTCGTGGTGAATCTCAGTCCAGACCACAGCCAGGCTTTACTCCAGCTGCTCGCTCTCTTTACCACTGTGGTATCTCTTCATCACTTCCTCTCCCTGCCCCATCTCCTCCCTCTGCCTCTCTCGATCTCCCAGCCTGCTGTCAGATAACTACCCCTGCCCCTCCCGTCCCATCCCCTCCCCTCCAGTCACTGTGCGTTGTCCTGCACGCTACATGACGCAAACACAATTGATTGCGGGCCTCTCAGGCTCTGTCATGCATGGCACGGATGGAAAGCTGCCACGCTGTGCTGATAGAAGAGGTACAAAACTACCTACAGCTGAAATGAAGACTGATTCAAAATCGCACAAGGACACAGACTGAGCTCCTCCATGAGCGAACAGAGAACCAGAGAAGGTTGTGATGAGATATAAATGGGAATTATAAAGTTGAAAGAATGAAGTCTATTAATCAGATAGCTGCTCCACAAGTTAAAAAACTCTGAAACAATAAATAATCTGACTGTCACTGTTTCCAGCTTTTTAAAAGTGAGGATTTGCTGCTTTTCTTTGTAATACTGTATATACTGTATCTATACACTGAATTTCTTTGGGTTTTGGACTTTTGGTTGAACTAAATGAGATCTGAAGACAGTGGAAAGTTTTTTTTTGAGACTAGGTCATTTTTCAATGAATAAAAAAAAGTAATAGGCAGATTAATTGAAAATGAAAAGAATCACTGACTCAGTGCCGCACTGTGGGTCGGACAACACGCTGAGGTTAGTTTGATGGTCACCAGTTAAGACGCACGGGTTACCCAACAGAGTCTGCTCTGCATGGAGTTAAGGACCAACTTCTCTGGGTAAATCCTGATGTAAAGTCTGATCGACTGGACTGAAGAAATAGAAATCAGACAGTTGGAAGAGACGGAACAGTTTTAGCATGGCTCGTGAGTGTTTATCACATGGCAATCTTTCATCATTGTTTTCAGAAAAACCTCAAGATCTCAAAAAGAGACGTCACTGCCATTTCAAGTGCAAACAAAAGTGTTTTTATGAATATCTTTTATATGTGATCAAAAACACTGGCTGGAAGAACAAAACTGTAAATAGCAGCATTTTCAAATATGTTCAAGCATGGTCTACCAGAAAGGCAAATAGTAGTTACAGCACTCAGCACTGACTCAGGCCGTACTATTATCCGGTTTTCATTTAATGGTGAAAAAACTTTGAATCAAAAATCTGTTAAACAGTTAATATAAACTCTTCTTCTCTCGCCTGCATTCACTTTCTCCCAAAAAAACGTGTGTGTGTGTGTGTGTGTGTGTGTGTGTGTGTGTGTGTGTGTGTGTGTGTGTGTGTGTGTGTGTGTGTGTGTGTGTGACAAGAATGTGAAGTCACTATATGGGGGAAGTTATCCACTGTAAGTTAATTGTGTGGGACTCTTGAATGTTTCAGACCCACCTTTAAGGAAACCAGTCTCACTGAGGGAGACCAGATTCATAAACATACATTTATCACAGGAAACAGGCCATTGACCCAATTTCAGTCTAAATCCATACTTAGGGAAAACATCAAGCTCATGTGCACTGCAACATTGCAACATGTCATTTCATTTAACAACTCAATTCCTCTGCTCTTAAATCTTTTTTAAAGTTGTGTAAAAACACATGAAAGCTTCACATTATAAACGAACATTAACTTCACTGAATCAGAAGAACATACATTTTCTTGGTTATTGAAGAAGTCTGACTTATTTGCTTCATGGATTCAATAAAGTCAAGTGCACAAAGATGTTGGGAGAAAGTACACAAAAGCATGTGGATGCCCCAGTTTACATGCTTTTTTTCTTTTGTTCCAATGAAAGCATCTGTTAATGCTGCAACATGAACAACAAGTGTGTACAACGACTGCAACAGGAGAGTGGAGGCTGTTGAATCTCTGATCAATGTCCCTGGTTTCAGAATGTGATGTTCAACAGCCACATATAGCTGGGCTGTAATGTTTAGGTGTCTACATACTTTCGACCATGCTGTATGTCTTTTGCAAGTGTGAGTATCAGCACTGAATCATCATTCACGACAAGGGTTTAACTTTTGTCTTTCAGTTATAAACACAAAACAGCATGGAAGCTGTTTCCTAGCAACATAAAAACAATGCTTATTTTTGAAACTGGACATGCATACAAATGATCTGGTGCTGGTTTCACAAAGACAGTCTTTGAACATGTCTTAGATATAACAAATAGCCAGACTTCTGATAGACCGAGTCTAAATTCATCTGTTGCACAAAGCAGTTTGGTTCTTGACTATCTTAAGCCAGACTGCGGTACAATGAATTCTGGGTAAATTAAGATTTTTTTCAATATAAAACCAAGAAACCACATGTAACCACTCAGCTCTGTTTACTCCAGCAGAAAATATTTGTCTTTTGGAAGAATTCAACAGTTACAAGAGTGTATGAAGTGTGTAACAATAAAAGGAATAATCTGATTTGGGGAAAAAAATATAAAATAAAAAAATCACTGCTCTCTCCATGACAATGTCCGCAAGCCACCAATTATGAGCCATGTTGTCCTGTTTCTTGTTGTTGGGTGTTACTGGTCAGCGCAGGTGTCACTGATTACCATGTTACCATGGTAACATTGGTCTTAGACCTGAGTTAGCCTGGGACTGTCTAATGTTTTTATCTTAAAATGAGTCAGTCTTTATTTGAGTGAAACAGTCTGACAAACATCAGACTGATCTGTGAGCAACATGAAGACTGGACCAACACTACAGACCAGTCTGACACAGCTTGGTGAAACCGGCCCCTGGACGAGTTGGAGGTTGCCAAAGTTACCAGTATTCTGTGTCTTCCAGGTTCACACACACTGCTTTAGGAGAACTCCTTACATTACCACACACTCCTACCATTGGACAATTAAATATTATTGTTGAAGAACAATAAAACATTATGTGAGGATGTCAGGGCTGTGTGTCTGTAGCTGGAATCAAATTCAAATTCAAAGAAGCTTTATTGACATGACCGTAGTCTGATACTGCACAAAGGCAGCATCACAGTGAAAAAAAAACAATTGTAATCAACGAGGGACTTCTGTCACACCGGAGTTTGAAGATCGTATCTGACCAACCATCTGACCAATATTGATATTTAGTAAATGTCAATGACAAGCCTAACTCTATATTCTACCATATGTTCCTCATTTCCCACTGTTGAGTACGACATTCAGAAAACTGTGGGTTACACAACAACATCACCAGTGGACGTTATGGACACGCAGGCTGCGGGAATAGAGAAGGAAACAATCTATTGGCCTCGTCAATACTCTGTGATGCATGCAGCTCGACAGCAGGCAGAACTTCTCCCAGCAAGCCTGAAGCACTTTCCACCATTTCCATGTTTGATCCACCTACATACAAGTTTTCTGTGTGTGTGTATGCATGTAGTGCAGGCTGTCAGCTCTTAGGGAGAAAGCTCTGTGAGTGTGAGTGTGAGTGTGTGTGTAGGTGGGAGTCTCTGGATTATATAGTGTGCTACATGAGTAAAACAGTGTGTGAGTGTGAATGCATCAACATACTGTATGCATGTTGATGACGGCATGAATGAAGAAACCCTTTTATTTACAGAGATCTTGTGTCGGCAGGCTGATATTCAATAATATTGTATATTTCAGATATTAAATTTTGGATATTTTTGGCCCTGTCTGCAGAAAACAACAGTGCATACAACAAGCAACACAACACTTGTATCCATCATACTATTCCTATGCTATGCTGCAATATCACTTGCCTTTTATGAAATGTTTTATGAATAACTCTTTTTTTTTTCACAAGAAAGTGAGTAATGGAGAGAAAAACAGGCAGGGGACTTAAAAGAGGGAAGTAATGGGTGGTGAGAAAAAGGAAGGCTAGTCAGTCCATACCATTCATGTTAACCCCTCCCCCCCATCCACACAGTGGTGATAGTAGCTGCCTGGTTCACTGACATCATCTATATTGCCAAGTCCACCACCCTATTCAGCAGCTGGGGCCCTGTCATCGCTTCCATCAGCTGTTTTTAAACCTTCATTTATTACATATCCAATATTAATTGTGTAATAAATGCTGCATTACTTAAAGCTGCAGAAAGGGGACATGAATTGTTTGAAAATGGTGCTTGTGTAATTCTTCCTTTTGTTATTTTTAGCAGCTGAGCACATTGTGCCCACTGTGTCTTCACTATCTCTCCATCTGAGCACACTGTGCTCATCCACCCCTTGGTGTAGCCTAATGTCACGCAAATCACCTCAGACTGTATCAAACAGATACAGTACAAACCCAGTCTAAGCTGTCAGTGCTAAAAGTAAGTGACGATGTAAAAAGCCTTAAACAAAACAAGCCAGTCTGTGAGTGGCCCAGTCACTGTTGTCATCTATCAACTGCAGTAAAAGTGAAGTAAAGCAATGTTTTACTTCATTTAATTCCCTTTTTTTTCCGAATTTATTTTACTGGTGATCTAAATCGCGAGATTTCTTATGGGACTTTGACACAGCAGAACACATGTCATCTGGGCTGAATTTTTTTGTTCATATATATTCTTTCACTAGTAACATTGTCAAACATGGTCGGTGTGAAAACATTGCTGAACAAGAATTTATCACAGCCCATCGTTTTTTCCCCCAACTACAATGAGCCATAATTGAGACCAGACCACGTACCCCTGGTAAAAATGCTGTTCTGTGTAACGTTCAGGGAACCCTCAAGTCAGCCTGCCATCTAAAAGACTACATTATATCGTTATCTCTTCGTAATTTACGTATAAACACAGTATCCGCCACACATAATCTATTGCAACAAAATGTAAATTGTGTTATAGCTTTCGCCCCCCCCCCCCCCCAAACCGTATTTTATCAGAATGAGGCTACAGAGAAGGGAGGCGTGATAGGCTACATCTTTAAAATGATGGTATCTACTGTATTTCAATCACTGAAAGACATGAAATTGTGCCGAAATTATCAGTACCGTATATCAGTTTGTCAGACGGTCTGAGTGATATCTTATTCAAGAATATGTCTTTGTAGACAAACAAAATATTCTTAAACTAGCAGACCGTTAAAGGAGTTTGGTGTGCAGTTCTCTCTACACATGAAACCAGCAGGGACAACAACACACGGGTACGGTTAAATATGGTTTTCAATTAGCAGCGCATTGAAAACAACAGTGATGTCAACACTTGCACAGTCAGTCTTATTTCGCAGAAAAATGGACTTACAGCGATGCTGGGAACCGCAGTCTCTGGTCGCTCGATCATTGTACTGTCACCACCCAGCCTGCGACGGACAGTCACCACGGCATAAACTGGGAAACGTCCTGGAGAATGACTGAGCGGAGAGAAACACGCAGCTCCTCGCCGTAAAAGAAACGGAGTTTATTGTGAACAAAGAGAAGCAAAACGCGTCTGAAAATGAATGAATGAGGTTAAATTACATATGGCCGCTGAGGATACTACTACCAGATGTAGCACAGTGACGAAAAATGCTCCGACTGTTTTCCTTTCGAGGCGAACAAACACAATTTATACAACTTTACATCCGGTAGAGGATTTCAGGATAAGACGAAATGCACCGCATCAATTCAATTTCAATTCTTTTTTTTAATTAATAGAAATCTTGAGGTGATAGATTTTTAAGACAACGTTACAAAAAAATGCACAAAACACTGCAATATTTAAATTCTGTCTTTTCATTTTGTTTCTTTGGGAAACACAACTCAAGAGTTTTATGACTTCATTTTTGAATTATATCAAAAAAACTTATTCATGTATCCTTTTTCATTAAGCTCTTGAACTTATCACAAGATCTTTCCCAAGGACATCAGAGCTCACCTGAGAACCTGCAGCTCACCTGTCCATGTGTCTGTGACATCAGAGCTCACCTGAGAGCCTGTAGCTCACCTCACCGCCTCACAAATGAGCAAACACTTAACCACTGAAATTTACATTTTCAATTCTGACATTTGAAACCGTTAAACTAAATAATTACCATTTCAGACTCACCAACTTTGCTACTGCTGGGCTGCAGCTGGTCAACAATGTGTAATGCAGTTTGAAGTTAAGGTTTGCCAGATCATACATCCCACTCTTTCACTCTTTAACATAATAAACATAAACATTTTAACAGAAAACAGCAACTCATAGTTACTGCAAGGTCATTCGAGATGGGTAAATTATTGGTAGGGACAATTCAGCAAGACATTGGTAGAGACATGCCTCTACTGTCCATAGCCAAATCTGAATGTCAGGGTGACCTCAGAAAGATGTCAGACAGACGTTAAGTTTTGGTTGGATTTTGGTTACAACACAACTTAAAGCCAAAACAATATCATCGTCAGCTGTCATCAGTATTCCACAAAGTTAGATGTTGTCCTGACATTGAATTTCGGTCACCCAACATCACAACCTACATTCAACCAAATATCAATATCTAACATGATGGCCGGCTGCCTGCCTGCTCGGGTCACTTCAGAGCAATCAAAGAAACTAACTTATGGCAAAGCACAATGAGAAGTGATAGCAAATAGGGTAGGATTAAGGCTTTTATATTGAAAGTAAACACACCTAACTTCCGGTATGCTATAGGCTGTGTTTGGCCAGCTTGGTGCACCTCTAGGGAACCTGGATCCGCCTTCCTATTGGTCAAACAGGAATGTGACCGGCCCTCCGAATCGTGGGTGTGAGGCCTTTATGTGCCTGGGCCTGGAGGCGAAAACGTGCTGCCTTCAAAGACTGTTGTGAATAGTGGTACTGAACAGATATCAACAACCGACATACCGTTTACATAGCCGTAACCAGGGGTATGTGAGACCGTGATGCAATTGCTTTAACAGCCAGAAAATAAAGAGAGAAATAATTTATTGCATAATAATGGCGCAATAATATCACCCTTCTGGATAATCCTTGATTTGTTGCTAGAACACAAACAGTGCTGTTTGTTTCGTGGCAAATGTTATAAGATGGAAAAGTTATGGAGGACTGAGACTACCAAAATCAAAAATAAATAAATAAATTACTAGATAAATAAATTAACATACCATTAAATGCAACAAAAATAATGAAACAAAAACAAGTACAGGCAATAATTAAGTAATAAAATGTTACCTAAACTGATATATGTGTTGCTTCTGTATTTATTTATCTTTGTATTAACTTCCTATTTATTTACTTCCCCATTTAAATCTTCATTTGACTTATTTATTTGTTCATTATTTATTTATCTATCCAGTCATTATTTCCCTTTTTTCTTTTCTGCTATTTATTTCCAGCAAACTTATTTATTTCTCTATTTTCCTTTTACATTTCTTTCTGCATTTTTCTCTTTCATTATGCAAATGTGGGCGCTGTCATTCAGTGTGTCATTGGGTGATCCTTTCGTCTATTAATTGATCAACATCAGAGTGCAATCTTAAAGTGCTTCCGCTTTTTAGTATAAATTGTATTAAATAAATCAATGTGATTAGATAGCTGGAATAAAAAACAGTATGTCTTAAGACTGGAAGCTCATGAAATAATTATTTCAGTTAATTTACTTCCACCTCTTGAATGTACCAACATGTCCTCACTGGACACGACATCAATTGCATCATGTGTCTTATCATTGGCATTTTTGAAAGGAACTTTTCTGGTTTAATTTGTAGGCACCTGTGATCAGGTCTTGGTTTGGATATGACACTGAATGGTCCAGTTGCACACTCTAGCAGCAAAGAAAGCAACAGACATTCCAGCAAAATTCCCAAATTCCTAAATTACCAAAAGAACACACAGTTGCTCTTAAGCTGTGTTATATCTACACTGCTCTTGTGCTGTAGTTCAACTGTGACTGTAGGTAAAGAACACAAATTGGATACATTTATTATATATTCAAAAATATACTATATGTAATAAAAAATACACATGTACTGTATATACTGATATTGTTCATGTTTATTCCAAACATTTAAATATACATGTACCACAGTATGGGGTGATGTTAACAATATGTACAATATCAGCAAGATTTGACCATAGTAAAATAATGCATCCTATGCTCTCTATTTTTGGTCATACAAACCAATTATTATTTTTGAGGCACTTTTTAAAAAAAGAATTTATAAGTGAGACTATGTAACCTCTGCTGTGAAAGCAGTTACAGGTGGCACTGTCAGAAAAATGTTAAAAGCGTAACTGTGTAGTGGAACAGTGGCACAATCAGGGAAGAGCCATAAAATAAAATAAATAACATAGACAAACTAAACAATTACAGTGCAGAGCATTGTGATTAACAGATAATAATAATAATAATAATAATAATAATAATAACAATGAAAAAAAAGTCATTATGTTCCAGGAAATTGCAAAAATCTTTCCAAATTTTCCAAAAGTTTGTTAAAAATCATTGAGTTCAGCTAATGAGAAATTCCACAGGTTCTTTATTTCTCCCATGAGCAGGCAATACCCTGTTTAACTTCCAGAAAACAAATTTTGAGCAGGGACCTTACATTGTTTGAAGTCACAAAATCATCTGGGTAAATATTCAGAATACACAGTTTAGGATTAAGAGGCACCTCTCTACCAATAATATGACTAAAAGCTGATTATCTGTGGACACTCCCACATACAATGAAACAGAGACACCTTCTGGTGGTTACATTTAGTGCATGTGTCAGGAATATTATTAAAATGATACAGCTTGTGTGGAATGGTGTACTGTCTGCCATTTATATCCATTTATATTACTGTAAGTGTGAGTGAGTGTACAAGGAGCAGGCCTCTGACAATTCACATTTTTAATTACAAAAGGTGAAAAAAAGACACACATACACTACACAAATATATAACATAAGGACAGTATGCTAGAGGTTACAGACAAAGAGCAAGAGAGAAAATATAAAAATATAATATTCTTGTTTCTTGAACAGTCAAATCATTTCTTAAACTAAATGCCTCTTATTTATAGTATATTATAGTTTTTTTATAAGGGCACATGGTCCATTCATTATCTCTATGAAGCCCCTGCAGGGCTGAGACTGCACGTTCCATAATAATAATAATAATAGTAATCATACTGTGCCAGTCAGTAATTAGAGGGAGTTGGGTATATAAGCCAGTCAGTCTGTGTATGGTGGTTGTTGGTGCTTNGATTTATAGTATATTATAGTTTTTAATGGTTATTGCCAGTCAGTAATTAGAGGGAGTTGGGTTTATAAGCCAGTCAGTCTGTGTATGGTGGTTGTTGGTGCTTGTGAGCATGGTGCTGTAAAAAAATAAAAGAAACCACTTGATGTACAACATCCCTGCTTCATGGTCTCCTCATTGGTTGCCTTGGTCTCTCAAGCCTGCTAACAAGTGGTGTCAGAAGAAAAGGTTGGACAACACACTGAGGAGAAACTATGACCAGAGAAAAAGAAAGGGGAACAACTGGTGGAGCAAGATAATGGTGAACCAGGTACTTCGGCTGACCAGCAGGGTGCAGCAGCAGCCAGCACTTCTGATAAGCTGGAAGAATTGATAAGCCTGGTAAGGTCCCTAGACCATTCCCAAAGCATCCAGAGACCAGCAGATGAAAAAAGAGTCTTCACACCAACATCAAACATGATGGCCGACTTACCAACTGAGCATTTGCATATGGACCCCCATTCTCTTACGTAGGACTTGACGTCTTTTGACCCTGGGAGGTTAAGGCACGATGCACAAGAGATGGGCAGTGCTATTTACTTGCATGTTCATGAGAGCTGTCCACATTGAGTTCATAGACTCTATGAGCTCCTCTACATTTATCAATGCTCTCTGCAGGTTTTTCTCAATCAGAGGCCTTGCCAAGCAGTTGAGGTCAGACTGCGGGATCAACTTTGTGGGCGCATCCAGAGAACTGAAGTTGGATCCTCCAACTCTTGGGGAAATACCTTCTGGACCAGAAATGCACATGGGTCTTCAACTCACCACAGGCTTCACATATGGGTGGCGTGTGGGAATGGTTGATTGGGACAGCAAGACGTATCTTAGATTCTATGTTCATGCAACTTGGGAAGTCACATCTGACCCATGAGATCTTGACTGCTTTAATGGCAGAGGTGGTTGCTATTATCAATGCAAGAACTTTGGTTTCCATCTCCTCTGACCCAGAAGCTTCTCTCATTCTAACACCTGCCGGGCTTCTGACTCAGAAGGTTGCAGTCTCTCTATGCCTCCAGTAGATTTCACCAAGGAGGATCCTTTCAAGCACCAGTTGAAGAGAGTGCAGTTCCTGGCAGAGACATTTTGGGCAAGATGGCATAAGGAATTCCTGAGTACACTCCAGATGAGGCGGAAATGGCACAGCAAGAGACCAAACCCACAGGAAGGTGACATTGTCTTAATGAAGGAGATTCAGACAAGGAGGAATGAATGACCGATGGGAGTCATCACAAAGGCACTTCCCAGTAAAGATAGCTTGGTGAGGAAGGTGGAAGTTAAGGTCACCCGGCAACACGCAGCGAAGACCATATTGAGACCTACCTC